ATTTTTATTTTTGTAATTAACAGTGTCTAAGTTATAGTTCTGTGGAACATTCCAATCTCCACATATAATGATAGAGTTATTATTTAGTGTTTCAAGTTTTCGTTGGATATTCTCAAAGAAGGACGGACTATCTTCGTTTGGGCCATATATTGCAGCCAAAATTATATTTCGATCAAATAATTTAATCTCAAGTATTAGAAAATTACCACTAGTGTCTTTAATTTCTTTCACGATGTCAAATTGAAATGTGTTTTTGAAGAGGATAGCTATTCCTCTACTACTACTAGAAAAGGAACAGAATTTTGCAGTATATCCCCATTCATTTAACCACTTTTGTTCAACTTTATCTGTGGAATGCGTGTCAATAAGGACAGAGATATCGTAGTTGATTCTACACTTGTCAAAAATGTCGCATCTTTTTATAGTATTTGATGCCAGTCCCCGGGAATTAAAGCAGCCTATTTTTAAACTACCCATGGTTATTAAAGCCAAAAAATAACTAGGTATTATCTTTAGGAACATTATCAGACAGCATTGAACATATAATCAAGTAGTATTGAAACGCAACATTGAACATTTTCTCAAAAGCTTCCCCAAAAATACCCACCCCCTTACCCCCCATACACACCCTACTTTCATTCATTAGGTTCTTTCAGAAAAGTCAGCCCAACCTCCTATAATAAATTTAACAATTAATATATACTTACATTATAAACAAAATCAAAGTTTCTGTTTTCGTGGCCATGTAGCAACAAGTCATGCATTTAGGTGTAGGAGTGCCTACAATGCTACAGTGAATTATCATAGTAATATATGAATATATCATGTTAAAAGGTACAGAAAATAATTAACTAAAATAAATAAATAAATGAATAAGTAAACCAGAGTAATGGTTTTGTTTTTCTAAAATCAAAATAAGGCATGGTAATTTTTTTTCAAACGTTATTTCATTATTATACTTGTTTTTTTAGGTCACCTGAGCTTTAGCTCAAGTGACCTATTG